CCTTATACCTTGTTTTCGCATCCCGCCCCCCATCTTCTCTCTCTCTCTCTCTCTCTTGCTGCTGCTGCTGCTCCTTATTCTCCAGCCCGTATCGTCCCACTCCCTGTTCTCTCCGCCTCCTCCTCCTCCTCCTCCTCCTCCTCCTCCTCCTCCGCCTCCTCCTCCTCCACAGCCGTGTTGGCTCCAGGGCAAGCCCGTGCCGCGGCCCGCCTGGTTGGAGGAAGAGGAGGAGGAGGAGGAGGAAGAGGAAGAGGAGGACGAGGAGGAGGAGGAGGAGGAGGAGGAGGATATGGAGAGGAGGTGAAGCAAGAGCAGGGGTTGCACAGGGTGCCAGCTCGCGATCGCCCCGACTGCTCGCACGCGGCGGCGCCCCTGCGTCGGTGGCCGGTGGCCGAGGTCTCCGTGAGGCCATGGCGCCCATGGCAAAGGCGAGGCTGAAGGACAGGATGGCCCTCTCGCAGCTGCTGCCGAGGTTCACGGACGAGCTCCCCAGTCACTGGACCCGGCCGCCCCCGCTCACTGAGCTGCTCATGATCAGTCCCGTCAGCCAGCCAGAGGATCGCCTCGTCGAGTGGATGGAGCGCTGCCTGGAGCGCGAGTGCGCCCGCACCCCCGCCCCGTGGAGCGCGGCGCGGGCGGTGGACTACCTGGAGGCTCCCCGAGCTGTCGACGGCCGCACGCCGCTGCACGTCGCGGCAGAGCTGGGCATGTGCCGGTTCGTACGGCGGATTGCTCGGGGAGGGGTCCGGGTGGACCTCCCCGACCATCAGGTCGGGTGCTGCTGAAGGTACCCCTGGCCCAGGGTCCCCCCAGCTTTTCGCTCCAGTCTGGAGCCTCTGGGGACCCTTGGGCCTCGCGAGGGGTGGCCCTGAAGGCCGTGGGGGCCTCCTTGGGAAATCCTGGGGGCACCTTGGGCCAGGGGTACTTCTATCGACATCCTGTCAGGGGCTGACTGCGCTGATGGCCGCCGCTTCGGTCGGCCACGTGGAGGCGGTGGCGCTGCTGCTGGAGGCGGGCGCGGCCGTGGGCGTGGCGGACGGGGCCGGCAGGCGCCCGCTGCACCACGCAGTGCAGCCGCTGGAGGACTCCGTGGAGGTGGCGCGGCTGCTGCTGGGCGCCCGCGCGGATGTCAATGCGCGGGACGGGCGAGGGACCTCAGAGGAGGACAAGGTGCCCATACCTCTACGCTTCGCCCGTTTTCCCTTTTTGGGGCCTCCTCGGAGGTCCTCGTCGCCACCATTCGATTCGCTTCGGAATTCTGGTCAGAACGCACCCCAGGAGAGGTCCGGGGAGCAGCGGTATCGGTACCTTTTGGCTTCCCCAGGACTACTCCGCTGATGCTGGCTGCGTCCATGCGGCTGCCAGGGATGACAAAGGCCCTGCTCGCCGCGGGCGCCGCGCCCGTTGCCTTCGGCGGCGACGGCCGGACGCCGCTAGAGCACACGCTGTCGGCGCGGCGCTGCTCGTCACCCTCGCCGCGGTGCTCTCCAGAAAGCGGGCCAGCGGGCGCTGGTGCCCCGCTGGCGACCACCCGGCTGTATCAGCGCTGCAGGTGGGACAGCACGGGCGAGGAGGACGTCGGCGGGGCTTTGCTGCGGGCGGAGCTCGGGTTGACCCAACAGGGGGTCCAGCGTTATGATGTTCCAGCCTTCTTTAGCCTTGACCACCTGGAAGAATTTCGAGCGCCCAAAAATGTACCGAAACTCTAGGGTTTTCACCTGTCGGGCCCTGGGAGACACTCGCCCGACACTGTTTCGACACTCTTTTGACACTGTTCTGGGTGCTCGAAATTATTTCTGGGATGCGGTCCTTAAGTAGGATGGGAACAGCATAAGTCCAGCGACAAGGGGGCGGTGCAATAGATTTGGTGCAATAGATCTGTGGGGTTGCAATACATCCGGGGCGTGCAATACATTCTGGGGCGCACATGTATTGCTGGATTGTCGCGTGCAGTGCATTCGTTGCAATACCATGCGATACAAGTCTCCAGCGCACTACGTCTGCAATACAGTTGCCTTACATCTCTTGCACCACCCCCGTTCAGCTGGACTCCCTCTTGGGTCACCCAGAGGAGCGCGACCTTCGGCGCATGGGCGCCGAGCCCGCCGAGGTGGAGCGCCTGCGGCGGGGCTGGTCCGGCAGGCGCCGCGGGCCCGGGCTGCCTGTGGCGGAGCGGGACCGCCTGCACGCGGCGCTGCCGCTGCTGCACTGACGGCGGGGGGGCTTCCGTCGGGTGCGGAGAGAAGAGAGAGGTAGAGAGAGAGAGAGAGAGAGAGAGCGAGGGGGAGAGGGAAAACGAGAGAGAGAGAGAGAGAGAGAATGAGAAACAACACCAACAACAGATAGAGAGGAGGCGGAGAGAGGGGAGGCGGGAGAGGGGAGGCGGGCAGGCTCGGTGCGCTCGAGTCATATCTGACGTCCTACCCCTCCCTCCCATCCCTTACCATGGCTTAGATCTCTCTCTCTCTCTCTTTCTATTCGCACAATCGGATGTCGTAGCATCGCATAGCATCGCATGGCATAGTATGGTGTTGAAGATTAAGGCGTAGCATGACATAGCATGGCGTGGCGACGCTCAAAAGTGGGGGGGGGCTTCCGCGGCTCAGAAAATCAACGAATCGGCACCGAATGTGTAATCACTTCCGATGGTTTTTCCCTACCTAGGCTCTGCCTAGAAGGGTTATTACCGTGTTGGCTTAAAGGGCCGGGCAGTGTTCCACGCCCCGGGCGGTTCCCCCAGGATCCGCCCCGCGGTTCCCCCAGTGACGTTCCCTTAGCTTAGCGTTGCTTATCTCATCTTAGCTTAGCTTATTTCATCTTAGCTTAGCTCAGCTTAGCCTAGCCTAGCCTAGCTTAGCTTAACTTAGCTTAGCTTAGCCTAGCCTAGCCTAGCTTAGTTTAGCTTAGCTTAGCTCAGCTTAGCTTAGCGCAGCGCAGCATGATCATAGCATAGCATAGCATAGCATAGCATAACATAATATCACAGCGCAGCATATCATAGCGCAGCATAGCATATCATACCATATCATAGCATATCGCATCATATCATATCATAGCATAGCATATCATAGCTTAACTTAGCATATCATAGCATAGCATAACATCGCATATCATAGCAATACATATCATATCATATCATATCATAGTATATCATAGCGCAGCATAGCATATCATAACATAGCATGGCGCATCATATCATATCATATCATACCATAGCATAGCGCAGCATCACATAGCATAGCATAGCATAGCATAGCGCAGCATAGCATATCATAGCATAGCCTAGCATATCATTGCGCATCATAGCATAGCAAAGGCAAACGCAATGGCAAGAGCAATAGCAAATGCGATGCACAGCATAAACAACACCAATGCGAAAGTGTAGATGTAGATTTAGATGTATGCCTAGGTGTAGATGTGGATGTAGGTGTGACTGTAGATGTAGATGTACATGTAGGCGTAGATGTTGGTGTAGACGTAGATGTAGATGTGAGTGTAGTTGTACATATATATATATATATATATCCAGATGTATATGTAGATGCATGCGTACACGTAGATGCAGCTGTAGGTGTAGACGTGGATGTAGGTCTAGATGTAGATGTAGTTATTGAGCTGTACTTTCACTACAACCACAACAACAACAACTACTACTACTACTACTACTATTCCTACTACTACTACTACTACTACTACTACTACTACTACTACTACTACTACTACTACTACGACTGCTACGACTACTACGACTACTACGACTACTACTACTACTACTACTACTACTACTTCTCCTACTTCTCCTACTACTACTACTACTACTACTACTACTACTACTACTACTACTACTACTACTACTACTACTACTACTACTACTACCGCTACTGCTACAACTGCGACGATGAGGAGAAGGAGGAGGACGGCGCTTACCGTTACTACTAATCTTGATCTCCTCGGGGGTCCAACTCCTAGGTAGGGTCGTTCTGGGATAATTGTTCGGGGGGCCATTTCTATATTTTGGGGCCTATTTGGAAGGACCGAAAACCATGCCGTGGCATGGCACTTGAAATAATGACGCACGCGCTGCAGCGGGAACACGATTCGGAACGAGCGGAAGCGCAGAAATGAGGCCACCGCTGCAGCGGGAGCACGATTCTGAACCAGCGTTTGCACGAAATTGAGGCCAGCGCTTCAGCGAGAGCAGCATTGTGGAAGTAAAACCAAGCAGAACTTCGTTTCCCGGGAATCTTTTGTGTAGAAAAGCAATACGCGGAGGGGGTCCGAATATTTCCTTGACGCCACCAGGGGGTAAAGGAGAGTAGGAGCAATATGGTTTAATTGTAGAGGAGGCGAGGTGCGGGCGGGCGGGACTTCGGAGGATGGAGGCTTCCATCGGATGCCCAGAAGTCGACAGCAACACCAGCATCGGCGGTCGTCCCGGCGGAGTGAGACGTCTCGACGACCCTCGACCTTGGTGATGGTAGTACGCAGTGATCTTCAGGCGTCTGGGGCGCAGATGTTGAGCACCAGGAGGACCATCTCCCCCCCATGGAAACACCACCCAGTATTTTGCGCTGCTTGCAGGTTTCTTTGAGGTTCCGTGTATTCAGATGGTATCGAGGAGGGAGGATGACGGGTGATTGCGCAGCAGGATGAGGCTCAGCATCCGTTCGGCTCTGAGTCTTAGTAGCCCGCGCGGCACCGCCCCTTCTTGCGGTTCAGGACCACGCAGAGCTGAGCTGCGTCTAATACAGACGCACGCAGAGCTAGGCAAGCGATGTCGCCGTGGTGCGGTCGCGCTCGCGGCCGCTGCCTGTGAAGCACTCGGCGAGCAGGCTCAAAAGTCAGCCTCGGAGACGAGAGTCACGCATCCTCGGTGGCACACGGCCAAGCGATGCGAAACAAAGAGCACACACACGATGCGAGTATGCTTGGGTTTCCGGGAGAGGGGCGTTTGGGGCGCTGGTAGCATCAAAGAAAGATCAGCGACGAAGCATCTGTTCAGGGAAGGAGTTGGGAGATTGTTGGCTCCCACGTGAAACACACACGCGACGGAGGTCTGGGCAGATGCAGAAGTTGGACATCCTCGCGGTACGAACTATCCCTTCGAGAGATTCTCTGAGCCTTCCGGAACGCTCTGGAACTGCCGCGTCACCAAACACGCTTGTCCTCTGGATAGTAGCCAGCTGTCAGAGATCACAGGGTTGTGGATCTGTTCTTGCCAGGCTTGCTCGAATCCTGCTCTCGCCCTCGTGCGGTGGGGTGCGCTCCCGACCGGCCACGCTGGGAGCCCCTCGCTTCTGCACTGCGTGGCCGGCCAGGAGTCCGCGGGCAGATCACCAGATGCTCAGGGCGGAATCCCAACCGGATCACGGCAGGGGATGAGCTCACCTCTTCGAGGAGGAGGAGGAGGAGGAGGAGGAGGAGGAGGAGCAGGAGGAGGAGGAACCGCAGCAGCAGCAGCAAAGGCAGCCTTTCTGCCCCCCCCCCTGCATCCATCGCCCTTCCACGAGCCTCGCCCTTGGACTTCGGACGGGTTGCTGATGGACCTGTGATGATCTGCCCGTTCCTCTTCCCATCCGCCCCAACCTGTCTCCCTCCCCGTTACTCTTTCTTCCCATGCCTCCTCGCCCCAGTCCCAACCTTCCCGGGGCATGTCTGGGGCGGTGGGATGGCCGTTGGGCATAGCCGTGGCATCGACCCAGGGGGAGGCTCCGCTCTGGGAGCAGACAGCCTCAGAGTTTCCGTGGCCGAAATCGTGTCGTCGCAGGCGTAGGCGCGAGTCTCGGCTCCACGCGAGGATTTTTTCCTGGACTCAGCGCGTGCACAGTAAATGCGTGCTGCTAGCACGGCCCCTTACGGGGCCTCTGAGGCTAAAGACGGCTGCGGAGTTTGGGAAGCCTTGCTGCAAACCCGTCTCTCCCGCCTGTGCTACACTGTGTGTGCAACTGCGTTCGCAACTATTCAGACTGATCCTTGCATGATGCTCGACGCACCGTCGCATGCACCACTGGATTTCCTGATCCATTGACGCCCTCGCCAGGGAAATTGACGAGCGGAACCAGTTCCACAGTTCCGGCGGGCCTCGATCCGCAAAGCCAGGGGGGGCCAGACCACAACCACCGTGCGGGTCCCCCGTCTGGGCCCCCTATTGGAGCCGTCTCTGGGGCCCCCTGGGCCGTCTTGGGCGCCGCTTGGGGTGTCTTGCGCCCTCTTGGGCCGTTTCGGAGCCCTCTTGGATGCCACTTGGGCCGTCTTGGAACGATCTTTGGGGGCTCTTAGGGCCGTCTGGGAGCGTCGGGAAACCGAAAAGGCGAGAAGGTCAAAAGCCTTGGAACCTCCGACGTAACATCATGCTTTTGGCCTCTTGGGAGGCCTTTTGCAAGCTTCTTGGGGCGTCTTGTATGCTTCTTGGGCCGTTTTGGAGCCATCTTGGGCGTCGTGGGGCGATCTTTGGGCGTCTCTTGGGCCCTCTTGAGAGCCTCTTGAGAGCCTCTTGAGGCCCTCTGAGCCTGTCTTGGGGCCCCCTTGGCCTCGAACAAGGCGCGCGACAGAACGCGGGACGGCCCTGGCAAGCCGCGGCAAGCCGCACGCCACGGGAGATTGTGCGAATTTTGGGTCCGGGTCTCTTGAAAGGTTCCTCCGGAGAGAGGACGGGCTCAGGAGGTGGAGCAGATGACCGGAGGACACGCCCACGTCGTGCCCAGCGGCGCGGTGGCGGATTTCCATGGAGGGAAGTGCCCCGTTAGAAGACGACCCTTTGAGCATCCTGAGCCGTGCCAGAACACCATTCTTGGGATTGCAGCACATCGAATCAGCGCGTCTGTTGCGCCCTGACAGTCCTGCATGTTGCCAAACGCTAATTTCTGAGGTGTTAACCACATGAATCCTTGAACGTGCGCGGGACGAGGCGAGAGCCACATTTTGAAAAGGTCCTGCTCTCCATCCGTGAAGCATTCGCGAACTTTTGCGACAAATGTGCAAGGCGCCATAACGAGAGCCACATGTTGAAAAGGACCCGCCCTCCATCTGTGAAGCTCTTGCAAACCTTTAAGACGAATGCACGCGGCGCTAAGGAGTGAGCCACGTGTTAGAAAGGACCCGCCCATCATCCTTACACATTATCAAGGCGAGTTTGCGTGGCGCTAATGCGAGAGCATCTTTTTGCAAAGGACCCGCCCTCCATCCATAACACTGTTGTAAGCTCTCAGTTTCAGCATCCTAGACGGTGGGAAGTCTCAGGCGAAACGCCCGGTCCGCCTTACAGACACGTCTCAGTGTGAGACAGTGAGGAGTTACGCATGAGGAAAAGGAGTGGAAGAGAAGGAGGGGGAGGAGGAGGAGGAGGAGGAGGAGGAGGAGGAGAAGGAGGAGCAGGAGGAGGAAGAGGAGGGAGAGGAGGAGGAGGAGAAGGAGGAGGAGGAGGAGGAGCAGGAGGAGGAGGAGGAGGAGGAGGCGGAGGTGGAGGAGGAGGAGGAGGAGGCGGAAGTGGAGGAGGAGGAGGAAAACCAAGAAGGTTGAGTCAACGGCAGCTCAAGATTGGTCCCCGGACCCAGCCGAGCCGACGAGGTGGGCCCCCGAAGATCAATTGCCGTTGTCTGAACTCGGCGCTCCTCTGAGATGCCCCCCCGTCATCGTCTTCGTATGTCGTCCGTTTCTCGAGGAGGAGGAGGTGGAGGAGGAGGAGGAGGAGGAGGAGGAGGTTCCTCGAGGAGGAGGAGGAGGAGGAGGAGGAGGAGGAGGAAAAGGCCGAACCTCAAAGTCGCTGTGGGGCTCTAGCTGCCCTGAACAGCAGGGCCAGGGAGCCCGGACCTGAAACATCCGTGGGCTCTGTGGCTCGAGCCGACCGTGCGCCCCGTGGCAGGGAGAAGGTTCCGAGTGCGGCTCGGTGGCCCGAACGCCCGTCTCCAGCCGCAGTGGCCAGGCTGTGCCATGCCCGTGGCCGACCTCGCAGGCGCCCTCCCCTCCGCCCCCCCTCGGCCCTTGCCGCCAGGGTGGGCTCGCGCCCGCGCCCTCGCCGGGGCGAGCCCTGCCCCTGCCGCCTGCGGGCGGGGGCCAGAGCGCAGCCGCCACTGCGGCGTGCCCCCCGCGGCCGCCGCAGGGGCATCGTGCGGCGGCCCGGGGGCGCGGCGCTGGCCGCCGCCAGGCTGCGCGCCGCTGCTGGCAGGCCTGGCGCTGCTCGTCTCGCCGGCGGCGGCGCTCGCCAGGCGGCTGAGGCGTCTGCTCTGCCCCCTGACGGAGGCCGACCGGCGGGCGAACGACCTCTTCAGGCGCGATGCCCCGCTGGACGGCGCCGTGGGCGGGGCCGCCGCCACGGACTGGCAGCTTGCCGGGGAGGGCTTGCGGCGCCTTCGCGCGGTGGTCGCGGCCATGGACCAGAAGGGGTGCGAAGGGCCCCTGAGCGCGTGGGAGACGGAAAGGGCAGCGGCCCCGCGCCCCGGGGGCGGCGAGGTCCCCGTGCTGATTCGCCGGTGCCCAGGGGGGGGCGCCGAGGTGGCCTCCCGGGCTGGGTGCCCCCTGGTGGTGTGGCTCCACGGCGGCGCCTTCACCATTTCCAGCGTCAAGTCGGGCATGTCCTTCTACAGGAGGAAAGTTCAAGAATTGTTGAGCAGTAGTCTGGGGGCGATCTTTCGAGCTCTTGTGACCGTTTTTTTTATCATGTCTGACTAGTTTTCAAAATTGGTTCCCCCGAAATCCGCCTCGAGGAGGACATGCCCGACCTGACTCCAGTGCCACAGAGCCGTTCGGCGCGCACGTCGCCGGCGAGCTGCGGGCGGCGTGTGGGCCGTTCGTGTGGGCCTCCATCGAGTACCGCCGTGCCCCAGAGGCCCCGTTCCCCGCCGCGATCGAGGACTGCGTGGCAGCGCTGCGCTGGCTGCAGCGGCCAGAGCAGGCAGAGCGCTTCGGGTACAGCCCTGCTCGCATCAGCCTCGCGGGGGCCTCCGCTGGCGCCAACCTGGCCGCGTTCGCGGCGCTGCTGTCGGACGCACCGCTGAGCTCCCTGGTCCTGCTGTTCCCCTTCCTGGACCCCGCGACCTCCCGCGGGTCGTACGCGCGATGGGGCCACCTGGGCTACAGCTACGCCCCGTTCCTGCGCTGGAGCTGGCGGGCCTACCTGCAAGGGCGGAGTCCAGATGCTGCGAACCCCGCGCTCCAGCCTGGCTGGAGCGGAGGGGCGCGGCCGCCCGTGCTGGTCTGCACCGGCACCGCGGACGCCTTGCGCGAGGAGGGTTTGGACATGGTGCGCCGGTTGAGGCGCCAGGGCGTCAGGTGCCGCCACGTCCGAGCCCGGGGCTCCCACTGCGCGGGCATCCTCTTCGACGGCTGGGCCAGGCGGGCCGTCGTGCAGTGGTGGCTGAAGCGCCTGCGCGAGTCGGGAGAGGCAGGCGGAGGAAGAGGAGCAGGAGAAGGAGGACGAGGATGCGGAGGAGGAAATGAGTAAACCCAGGATGCATCAGCGATGCTGAAATACTGCCTCCCCTCCCCTCCACAAGGCGCGAGCACGATTGGCCTGCCATTCATGCCCGAGCCCAGCTTTGAAAAGGAACCGCCTCTATCCTATGCATGAGAGGCGCCACGGGGTAGGATCCCAAACATTGAGGAAGTGTCTAGCGATAGCCCAGTTTACGACAATGATCGAACTCCATGCGTGTCATTGCCGCGCAGGCGACGTCGGCAGAGGTATCCTGGGCTTATGAGTCTCGACGGTTGTTTGTCTCGGACGGGTTCCGATTGCCACTTCCCCCCGTGGAGGGTGGGATGGTCGTTGAAAAGACTTGTCATTGCTGCGCATTTTCACAATTCGCGGCATGGATCAGGAAGTCTCATGCGAGAGCCCCATTTTTAATATGATCCCCCTTTCATCTTCAAAGCTGTTGCGTGTGGACCTGACGTGGGTTCGTTGTGGACCCGACGCGAACACGATGATCGACGCGGGCTCGACGCGGTGAGCGGTGCGATGGGACAGGCCAGGTCACCTGCAGATTCAACGCAGTAGTTTTTG